CTGAGACCGGGACTGAGACTGGGACCAGACTGGGACCAGACCAGAACTGAGACCAGGACTGAGACCGGGAACAGGACCAGAACTGAGACCGGGACTGAGATCAGGACCAGACCGGGACCAGAACCGGGACTGAGACAGGGATCAGACCAGAACTGAGACCAGGATTGAGACCGGGAACAGGACCAGAACTGAGACCGGGACTCAGACCGGGACCAAACCGGGACCAGAACCGGGACTGACACTGGGATCAGACCAGAACTGAGACCAGGATTGAGACCGGGAACAGGAGCAGAACTGAGACCAGGACAGAAACTGGGACCAGACCAGGACTGAAAACGGTTTAGTCCTGGTTCAGTCTTGGTTCAGTCCGTATGTGGCACAAAAGTCATGAATCGTGAATGTATCATGAAAAATAAATATTTTTTCATTTTCTTATTTTTGCTTTTATTTGGAAAAACAAATGAAAGAATGATACACGGATTGTAAAATTAGTCTTATTTGAGTTAAAATTTTGGATACTCATCCCACTGTGAGTGAGTCTACAAGTGACAAAATCTTTATGTTGACTATATACATTTATTTTAGTTTTAAATTTGTGTGTCTATCCTTTGAAAATACCAGATTTGGGGCATTATTTAAAGTTTTATCCTTCAAATGGCATTGACATTAAAATATAAATCAAATGTTACGTACAGACAGTTCCTCTAAAGTCGTAGTTTCCTTAAATACTTTTTATTCTTGAGTTTCTTTGAGTAATATTAATGTGAACTTTAACTTCCCAAAAACGTCACACAGCTGAAGATTGACACGAAAAATGACAGAATGAAAAATGTTACACAATTCAGTTTGATTTGTCATAATCCCAAAATATACTACTATACTCTCAGTTACACCTCGCACAATCTCTAGAATAAAATTTAACTGTCCTAAAAAAAATCCTAGTTGAAATATACTGTATAATATCTTAAGGCTCATATTAAGGCAACAGTGGAAACAAAGGCACGGTATAAATAAGTGCTCAGACAGTAGAAGATTCGAGAAAAGCAGCGCAGCAAAACACGGAACGAAAATAAGTCGGTTTCAAAATCACCAGAGCCTCGTGTTGACAGGTTAGGTTCAGTATTATGGCGTTTTGACAAAGTTGTGCTCTTACTGTAATCACGTTATCTTTTCGACAGTGACTTTTACAAAATTCGAAAGCTGAAATTTTAGTTTGGTAACTTAGGAACTGTATGTGGTCTGAGCTCTTACTGTTTTAAAGGGACAGTCTGGAATTTTGGACATAGGAGCGCATTTCCTAGTGAGCCAGAGTGTTGGAGACGTGTGGAGACACTTTTTTTTAAAAATATTCCACCCAGTCCTTGTATTTGCAGAGGTCACTGGTGCTAGACTAGTGCATGTCAATAGCCATAGTTAATCTGCTACTAAAAACAGTCTTACCGATGCCACAAAACACCCGAAACAAGTCTATTATTACACCGGACTATATGAGAAAACGTTTGTGTTGACAGTTGCGTCGTGTTTGTCTGTCATGTCATAACTCGTCTTATTTTGAAGTAGGTTTTGGATTTAATTGTTTTGACGTGACTTCATCATCTTACTCTACGTCGCTGAATGTTGAGGATCAAAAACGTTACTTTGAAAAGTTAAAACTCGCCGATAAACGTTGACGCTGTTGATCTTGACTTGTCGTTACGGACGCTTTTTGTCTACCAAAATGGCTGGTGTGACTTCATCGTGTTTTGTTGTAAATGTGAAAATGATGTTGATAGAATAATTTTTGAAGTAAAACTAATCTTGCATGGCATGAATCGTCGCAAGTTGAGGGACTATTTATCTCAGTGTGTGTGGAATTTTACTTTGTCGGTAACACAGGTGCTACTAGGTCAGGGGTGTCAAACTCAAATTCACAGAGGGCCAAAATTAAAACCTGGGACTAAATATTTATTGAAAAATTTCAACAACATCTGCATGTTTTCTCTTCTTTCAAGATATGTAATATTAAACCTTTTCTTATTAAAATAAAAGTTTAAAAATAGTTTTGCTTAAACATTGAATCCAGAACAAAATAACAAATTTTTAAATAAATAATGTCTCTACAGCTGTTCTGTAGCCGGCGGGTCAGCTCTATTAGTGGAGCTGTTAAGGACCAAAATAGTTCACTTTTATGGTACAAGCATGACATTTTGCCACATTACTAACACCCCCAGGACTAATATTTCTCGATATGGAACCAAGCCCAGAAATCCAGAAATGTTGGTCCTAGGGATGGTAATAATCTGGCAAAGTGTCATGCTTGTACCATAAAAGTGAACTATTGGGCACTTTTTTGGTCCTTAACAGCTGCACTATAATACTAGGAGTGTGCAAAAATATTGAAATATCTATATATCGTATCGTTTAATGTGATGATACAGTATCGATATCATGGGCTGCTGAATCGATATATCACCAAGAGTATTTTTTGGTATATTTTACTAAATTATTTTGTTACAGCGCTACAGTTTTGTTGCTTGTTTAGATGAAGGAAACTCATTTTTCACTGTTTTGATGATTAAAATGTTTGTGTTTCATATGAACTTCGCACAAGAAGTGGTTTAACAAGGACTTTTAGTATCACAGCCATCGATATGATCTCGCAGGCCAAATATAATTATATCACGGGCCAAATTTGACCTGAGTTTGACATGTCTGTGCCAGGTGATATCAGTTCGAAGTACAACTCGCTGCTGCTGCTGCTCAGACATAAATTCTTCAAATGCAAGGTTGGTTCTAATTTTTACTTCTAAAATTATTCAATCGACACAGACATTTACATGGACAGTCTGGTGTAATAACAGATTTGCTTCGGGTGTTTTGTGGAGTGGGTAAGACTGTTTTTAGTGGCAGGATAACCATAGACATAAAAAGTGTCTCCACACGTCTCCAACTCTCTGGCTCATGAGAAAACAAGGTCCTATGTCCAAAATTCCAGACTGTCCCTTTAATTAACCTACATATAAATATACTAGTACGTTTTGAGAGACTCTGCGTTCTGATTGGATACTTGTCTTAAGAGTCAAAACATCAAATTCTAACACAAAACTCGTCCATCTTGTTTGATATTTTTTGCAACTAAGAATAAATCAGCATCACAATTGTTTACCTCGTATCTGGGGACAAGTTTATGGAATTTAAAATCAAAATCGTACATACAGTTCCTTTAAGTTACTGCAGCTATGTGAGGAAAGGGTCTCACTACTGCCATCCGCCTGTTGTGGCCAAAGAGTGAAACTGCGGTCAAGAGAGTTCAACGGGCTCCGAGTCTTTTCCTGCTTTGCCCCTGTTTTTAATGTCGTTAAATAAAACGGTACAAGCAAAATGTCTGCACGTCGGCCTAGCACGTTCAACAGTCAATATAAGGCTCCTATTATCACATTTACGAGACCCCCACAGGAAAAGTTTAGGGATATTTAGTCACATTTAAGGTTAAAAATAAATAAATACAATAGTTTTTTTTAAAAATGGAACTCGTGCTTTTCTGAGCAATGTTGAAGAAATATTACATTGCTATCTCTCTTTTTTTTTTTTTTTCATTTTTCCCACCCGCTCCTCCTATTGGTCAGCCTCCTTCATGATTTGAGTGACAGGTGGGTTTAACCAATCACAGTGCAGTGTGAATTCTAGAAAACGCATATTCAAAAATAAAATACATAATGTAGGTGGTTGGTGAAGTAAAAAATTATATATTCTTTAAAAAGCAACACAATTTGCAACACTCCAAAAGTAAAATTGGATAAAACTTGCTAAAAAAAAAAAAAAAAAAAAAAAAAAAAAAAAGGAAGGAAATTCACAGAGTTCCACTTTAAGTATGTCAAATGGTTAGTGCTAGATCGTCACGTCCGGAGGGATGATAGAGATGATGCAGCTGTTGTTGCCAAGGCAAACTTGTAAACGTCTGTCGCTATGAACAGGCCTTAAATGTTTTATTATTCGCTGTTTTACATTTTATTTAATGGAGTAGACTGAGGTTACTACTGATAACTCGTTAACCGTATTTTTCGGACTATAAGGTGCACTGGATTATAAGGCACAATATCAATAATGTTGAATTTTCTCATCTATTTTCATACATAAATTGCACCGGATTATAAGGTGTATTAAGGAACAAACGGACGACACTTGAGACTGATCCTTAATCCAGGCGTCCATGATCCATCGGCAGATCGTGGTGTGATTCGCCCAGCGTTGACTCCCTGTCTTGGTTAATGTGTATTATGAATGTGAATGTGGGTGGATTATTTAAGTTTGTTTTTTATTTCCTACGAGTACGACTCAAATATACATTGAGTAATAATGTGTTTAATGCAGCTTTGTGCATATTTGTTTACATTTTACAGAACTGAAACTTAAAACTGCATGGCTCATTTGCATAAACCAGAGGTGTCCAAACTTTTTTCATCAAGGGCCACATCTCTAAACACAGACGAAGCAGAGGACTGATCGAGGGCCGTAGACTGGGGCTCAATACAGTGAATAACTGAAATATGTGCATGTTTAACACTTTAGAATGAGCCATCAGTCCTTATTCATGCTCAGATCCTTAAAACTACACACTAAATATTAAATATCAGTTTTATCAAGGTAGATTTTTTTTTTTAAACTTGCAGTAAAATGCTCATTTTTAATTGATGCGAGGTAATTTGGGCCAATTCACCTATAAGCCTGAGGGCCAAGAAAAAACTGTCTGAGGGCAAGCGCTGAAAAAAGCAGTTCGCTCCTTGTGCACTGATGCAGTCAGCTTCTATCGGACGAGGCTCCTGACTACAGTAGCTGTAATGCTCCAACAGTTCATCAAGCAGTGTGGCTTCGTAGTTTACCAAAGTCGTACTAAAAACATTTTGACAGATTTTTGAGCGCCGTGTACCACATAAAATCAGTTCAAGGTCAGTAAACACAACCATAGAGAAAAATCCTGTACACCATCTTACTTGCAAAATGTGAGATTTATTAGGACAAACCGTGCAATGTTTCGGCACTAGTTGCATGATTTGTCCTAATAAATCTCTCATTTTGCAAGTAAGATGGTGTACGGGATTTTTCTCTATGTTCTTGGGCTGCTCGCTCTCCTCCAATGCACCTGTCTCAAGTAATTGCAAAGTTAATTTTTTTTTTTTATACATTAAGCACAACCAAAATGAATACATAAGGCGCACCGTCGATTTTTGAGAAAATTAAAGGATTTTAAGTGCACCTTAAATCCAAGAAATACGGTAAATTATAACCCTCTTCATAATCTTCACTGACCAATCACAGCAGACCGTCCCTCCGGAGCGTACTGTCTAGCATTAACTTTTTGTAAATGCATTGATGCTTATGGCCGTTCTATATCCTGCTTAAGAGCTCTTCCTGTGGGGACCCAGACTTCTTCACACTCCTCCTTCACTCCACTCCTTCACTCTTCCTCCTCTTCCTCCTCCTCCTCCTCTCCGGCCATCACCTCCACCAGAAGCTCGGCCGTGCAGGTGGCCTCCCCGAGACTGTTCACCGCCTTCACTGTGTACTTGGCGTCGTCGTCCCCTGACACCTGAGCAGGGAAATCGGTAAATTATTCGAAGGTTACAGACGAGAGACGGATAAAATAAAACTTAACACAATATAATGAAGTTGTAAATGCCAAAATAGAGGAATGCAAGTGTGTGTGGATAGTGTTGCAGATATTAAAAGATAAAATATAATGTAAAAATTAAATAAAAAATAAAAGTGGACATTTATACACTGTACTTTTTTGTATATGTATACCCCATTGTGTGTTTGTGTTTGTTTGTTTTTTACTCTTTTTTTTTAATTTTGTATAAATTTTATCTTTAACTTTATATTTTATTGTATTATTTTGCATTATTATTATTATTTAAACTACTTTATTTTCATGTTTTTGTTATGTAAGTCATACAGAATTTGAATTTAAATTTATTGATTTATTTTTATTTATTGATTTTATTTTTTTTATACTTACAGTGTATTTTAATGATTATCTGGTACCAGCAATAAGCTTGTTCTGTCAGTTTTTTGTTGTTGTTGTAAAATATAAAAGTTACAAAAAAAATTTAATAAAAAATGAAAGTGGACATTTATACTCTGAACTTTTTTGTATATTTATACCTCATTGTGTGTTTATGTTTTTTTAACTCTATTTTTTATTTTGTCTCTATTATCATTATTATTATTATTATTATTATTATTAAACTACTTTATTTACATATGTTTTTGTTATGTAAGAATTTTAATTAACTTATGTATTTATTATTTTTATTTTTTTACTGTATTTGATTCTTACAGTGTATTTTAATGATTATTTGGCACCAACAATAAGCTTGTCCTGTCAGTTTTTTTGTTGTTGTTGTAGATATTTGTTCTAAACTGAAAATGTTAATAAATGAAGTTACAAAAAATAAAAAAATAAAAAAATGAAAGTGTATGATAGTGACCTCTGAAATGACCAGGCTGCAGTTGCCCTCCTCGTCGTAGTCGATCTGGAAGTGCCTGGTCTCTTTGATGGGCTGGTCGTCCTTGTACCACACCACCTCTGGGTCTGGGTAACCTGGAGTGGAATAACAGACAGATTATGGACACTTACGGGGGGTTATACACACTGGATATATGATGAGTATTATAAAGTATTAGGTCCAAACTTGTAGAGTGTTAGAAGTTTGAGTTGTCAGTGTGAAAAGTGTGATTGGACAAAGCTGACTTTAAAACGTGGCAAGGAGAAGGAGGTTCAAAATTGTAAACGGCAGCCATATCAGACTGACCTTTGTACTTGTGCTTTTAGGGGACAGGTTCATAACAATTAATAATTCTGGTACAAAAAATGAGAACAGCTAACACGCGCTGTAGTATAAATGAAAGTAGAGTTGTAAGAAAACGCGCTGAACCCAGAGATACAGTATGAACAATCTGAATGTTCTGTTTTTCAGGTGTTATTTAGTTCATTTTAATGCAGATACTTTTATTTTGAAATGTTATTTTGGTACTCCAAACCAGTCTGTGGGACAGAAAGTGTGAAAAATAAGCGAGAGAGATGAAAACGCAAGTTGGCAACAAGAACAAAACGGACTCATACCTCTGAAAATCAAATTTGGGTGTATAAATTACTTAAAAATTCAATTGTAAAGTTAAAAAGACGTTATTATTTAAAGTAGTCAGCTGTGATTTATGTTAACGGCGTGTTTGTATCACACATCCTCATATAAAAAGCTAATTATAAAAACGAATCTGTGATAAATTCATGTATTCATTTTTATGTTAAAATATTTGTTGTAACTGCTTTACTACAAGTTACTGAGGTCTCAGTGTATCTGTACTGGAATGTGAAAATATTAAGAGATAGCTGATTGTGTTTTTCTATTTCTCTTGCAGTTTCACTCTGCGTTCATAAGACGAGCATTAAATGTGAAAACTACAACTGTCTGACTGTCATTGAATCAGAGTTTAGCTCGCTGTCAAGCTGGAACTGCAAACATCTCAGTGAGGACAGAACAGTGGACTTGTGACAGTGTTCTCCATTCCAGCCTAGACTGTTTCTCTAGCTGGAATTCACTTTGTTTAAGAAAAATGAAGCAGAGTTAACAGCTGAAAGACTCCATTTCTGACTGTTAAATAAGAGTAAAAAACAGCCCTTGAGGTAGTTGGCACACTGGTCCTGATGCTGACGTGTACCTTCTATCTTGCAGTCGAAGCGGGCGGCGCTGCCCTCCACCACCTCCACGTCTTTAATGACGGAGCTGAAGGTCGGCTTACACTCGGTCTTCTGCTCGTACTCCAAACACTCCAGGAACTGATTATCCTCTGAACACAAGCAAAGACAGGATTTAAAAAAAAAAACTTTACAACATTATTAGTTTTGCAATACACACAGAATTAACTTATACTTAAATGTACAAAAAAATATGTTAGTACCGTATTTTTCAGACTATAAGGTGCATTAAGCGAAACAAACGGACGACACTTGAGACTGATCCTTTAGCCCAGGCGTCCATGATCCATCGGCAGATTGTGGCGTAATTCGCCCGGTGTTGCCTCCCTGTCTTGGTGAATGTGGATTATGAATGTGAATGTGGTTGGATGTGGGTGTGTTTGTTTTTTTATTTAGGATGACTCAAATATACATTGAGTAATAATGTGTTTAATGCAGCTTTGCGCACATTTGTTTACATTTTACAGAGAAAAAACTGAAAACCACATGGATCATTTGCATAAACTATAAGCGTTGGAAGAAAACAGCTCGCTCCTTGTGCCCTGATGCTGCGACAGTCCATCAAGCGGTGTGGCTTCGTAGCTTGCCAAAGTTGTAATAAAACATTTTGACAGATTTTTGAGCGAATTTTTGAACCGCATAAAATCGGTTCGAGGTCAGTAAACACAACCAGATTATGCGCACTGGATTATAATGGCGCACTGTCGATTTTTGAGAAAATAAAAGGATTTTAAATGCCCCTTATAGTCTGAAAAATACGGTAATTAACTTTTAACAGATTTTCTTTTTAAATGTACATATACTAAAGGCTGTGCAGACCTTCTGTGGGTGAGCCTTTCTTGGCGCTGACTCCTGCCATCATGGCCATAGACGACAATCTGCCGATGGCTCTCACTGCATGGCCCGTTTTCTGTGGGAGAAAGATGCAAGGACACAACCAGAGAAAGGAACATTTTAGTAGTAAGTAGTAGATAATAGGTAGTAGGTAAAAGTACATTTATAATTATTAAGTAACTTTTTCTTCACCATGTACTTTCTATGAACACTTAAATGCTACTTTTTTGAAGTAAAAGTGCTAAAAAAAAATAAGTTGCGTCAGTATTTAGATTGTATTTATTTAACCACAGACACATTTTTGTTTTCTTTTATATTTATTTTTCTTAATTTTAATATTTAACAAAACCAAAACAAAAATGGACAAAAAACCCTCTCTCCACATACTGCAACAGAAAAGTTGCTGTGTTTTCTTGAGTACTCATTTTTACCACTGCTGTACATTTTACTTGTAATATAGTAATAGTTTGGAAACACTGGTACTCTTACTGCATAAACAATGAGTTTGGATAGTCGTACCTGCCACTTCCTCCTGAGAATGTACTTCTTCATCCTCTCTTTGGACAGTTTCTTGGCCTTCATGGTGTTGGTGTCCTGTTTGAGCCATGGGTGTTCGTAGCACTGGGCACAGGAAAGTCTAGTCCTGCAACACACAAAAACACATCTATAAAACCACATCGGCGCTCAGAACGGCTCCCCCCGGTGGCCGCGGACAGTACTTCATGTCCTTCTTGAGCAGGTTGGTGATGAAGTCTTTGGCGTTGTCCGAGATTTCGTCGAAAGCCTCGTCCTCAAAGTCCCAGGTTGCCGAGGTAACGTTGGACAGGGTTTCGTTGTCGTTGTCGCCCATGAACGGAGACAGACCCGAGAGACTGGAGGGAGAATAAGAGAGAAACATAAATACACACTAGATAATAGTACAGAATTAATTAATAGAATTTATCTGCATGAAATATCAAAGCCAAGGTATGTAAAAGTCATAAAAAACAACTAAATAAGAGTACCATTTGTGCCCATCTGACTTTGATACAGTTTAAAGTTCTGTTTAGATGTCATTACTCAAAAACAAGACAAACGCAGATCTTTTCCTCTGTTGTGGATGTTTGTGACAGGTGTGGGGGATCACCTTGTAATCCAACACATATGTTTTTTCTCTGCCCAGTCCTGACGACCTTTTGGCGGGTTTACTTTGATACTTTGTCCAAGTGGTTGTCAAAAACAATGGATGTTTCTCTGTATGTCGCTGTCTTCGGTTTCCCAGAAGATTTCTCTTGTTATTCACCTTTACAGCTGCAGGTTTTGGCGTTTACTTCTCTTGTTGCAAGACGCTGTTTGCTCTCATACTGGAAATCAACAAATGCCCCATCCAACACTCAATGGATTTAAGAAGTTATGTTCTTTTTGAAAGTAGAGAAGATTAGGTATTCCAGGAAAGGTAAAAAGAAACAGAAAATGCACACCAAAATTCTTGTAGAGGTGCAAATGCAAGGAGCAGCCAGACAAAAGTGAAAAAATGCATAGCACACTCATGGCCCATGTCCAAAAGCTTATTTATTTTCAAAATAGCGTTTCAGCAAAAAAAGCCTTCATCAGATATTTTTCTTGCACAGTGATGTTGTGGTCCAAAGCAAGGCTTTTTTTGCCGAAACATTATTTTGAAAATAAATAAGCTTTTGGACATCGGGCCATGAGTGTCCTATGCATTTTTTCACTTTTATTCCAGGAAAGGTAATTTTTTTAGAAAGAGACAACTATTTATTGACTTTTTTGAAACAGTCACCACCATCACTTTTTTTTTAAATTTAATATACTTTTATTATTATTATTATTATTATTATTATTATTATTATTATTATTATTATTATTTTATTTTATTTGTTATCATTCTGTTGTATGATGCTACTCGTATTTCTTGAGTGACTTGTGTTTGTTAGTTAGCTTTATAAATTATGTTTTATCTGCATAAAAATGAAAAAAGTGTGTGTACATGTGTTGTTTGAATGACCTATCTATATCTGTTTACACATGAATAAAATCATGAAACTGATAAAAACAACTAAAAAGTAATATATAAAAACTGGACACACTGGCAGCAAATGTTTTAGTCTTTCACAATGTCTAAAAGGTTCATACTTAATACTGTTTTTATACTCAATTACTAATCGCATTTGTTCGGGTATTAACCATCTGTAACAGGTGAAATAGGAATTTTAGCACACACTTATTTATTAACAGAATAAAATAAAATGAATAAATTGTGCATATTTACACTAAAAAACAACACAAAATTTAAACTATTCTGTGTAAAGAAAAAGTACATGTGGTGTGTCAATATGTGTGAATATGAACACAGTGTAATACATGTATCAGGCCACCAGATGCCGCCAAAGAGCAACTACCAGCACACATGAGGCAGAGAAAGGCAGCAGAAAGCAAAATGTCTTTAATACCTCAGAGAGCTGGGACATGCAGAGTCAAAGAAAAAGGACTTCTAGCTACTCTGTCTTTTCTTAGGTAAACAGTTATATACTGCATGTATTTGAATTTGTATTTGAATTTATTTGTTTGAAGGATAAGCTCCTTGAGATGTCTCACCATCTCGTTTTGGAGGGGGTCCTCATGTAGCATGGACATGTCCAGGATGGTGTTTTACTCACAGGATGTAGCAGATGACTCCTATGCTCCACATGTCCGTGGGGTAACTGATGGCTTCATAGTTGATCACCTCTGGGGCCACAAACTCAGGGGTCCCAAACAACACCTTCAGAGTGCCGGCGTTTTCTGTACAAATGAAAAAGAAATAAGTTGTCCAAGAACACACAAAACATGTTCTGATGAGGGAACAGCATTATAAAAGTCCCAGCTCTGATTAAGAATGTGGGGTGTGTACATAAACGTTTAAGATGGTCATGTCTGTACCTAGTCTCCTGGCGAGTCCGAAGTCGATGAGTTTGATCTTGCTGCCGGTCTTGTTCACACACATGATGTTCTCTGGTTTGAGGTCCAGGTGCACGATGCCCTGTTTGTGGATGAAGCTCACTCCGTCGATGATCTGCAGCATGTATTTGATCACCTCCCTCTCCGTCAGCTCAAAGTCCTCGTCAATGATCCGCTCAAACAGCTCTCCTCCTGAAATACTGTCATAAAAGAGAAATAGAACATTTTAATTTCTTAGATTTTGAACAATGGGGTTGAACGATTTTAAGAAAAAAATTTGTTGCGATTTTGTTGGCAGATATTGCGATTTCGACTTCATCCACGATGTTTTTTTCAAATCAAGTTTCAGTGCACATGAACATTTGCAAACATCACAGAAACTTACATCACACCAGAGTCCTGCACCGACGATTTGACGCTGGACCATAAAGCCCAAATTACGCAGAAAATAAGGGCTGTGATTGGTCGCCTCTACCACTGCTCTACAGACATTTCCTGTACTCCACTTTTCTTTCTTTCAATATGCAGTAATCAATAATAATGTGTTTAATGCAGCTTTGTGCACATTTGTTTACATTTTACAGAAACAAAACTTAAAACTACATGGCTAATTTACATAAACTATAAGCACTGCAAAAACAGCTTGCTCCTTGTGCACTCGGACTAAAGGATACGACTCAGTGGCCATACCAGTTTGTCAAAGCCTGATCCCGTCAGAGCTCAGAAGCTCAGCAGGGCCGGGCCTGGTTAGTACTTGTATAGGAGACCACTGGGAAAATCAGGAGCCACAGGGGGCGCCAGTTGTAAAAACTGTTGTTGTGTGCAAGACACTTCACCCTCATTGCCTAGTATGAAAGAGGTGTGTGTGTGAGTGATGGTGGTGGTTGGAGGGGCCAATGGCGCAGATTGGCAGCCTCACTTCCATCAGTCTACCCCAGGGCAGCTGTGGCTACAATAGTAGTTTACCACCACTGGGTTTGGAGTGAATGAATAATGAACTGTAAAGTGTCTTTGAGTGTCCAAAAAAGTACTGTATAAAACTGATGGATTATTATTATTAGTGGAATATGAGTGTTCTTTCTGTGACAGAGGGATGTTCTGCTGATGGTGAGTCTGTTCTGTGCTTCTATCACGTTGGAGTTGGCTCATGTTTAACTTTACACGAACGCCAGTGTTGTTGAATTACTTTGAGGTGCATAGACCTCGACCCAGATCCATAAATCAAAAACAACAACGACAAGGCGACGGCGGCAGTGTGTGTTGAGTCGACACAGAACTAAACTTCATCCTTAAATTGTGCTTTAGGAGCACTGCAAAAAACCACGGCTTTGTTGCTCCCAAAATTGTGTTGTCTGAGGTCACCATTTTTGGTCCAAAATGATGGATTGTTCAGCCATATTCCACAGTACGGCATTAAAGAGCCTTTACTTCATTTTTTCTCATATTTGAGCACATTTTTATTGTAAAATGATATAATAAAAAAAGTATAAATAAGACCGCTATGTTTAATGTATTTAATTATAAAGTACTTTATTGTCTGATAATCAGGAAATGCGAGGTTGGCATGCTAGTTGTTAGGTTTAGCCTGATGTCACACTCCAATTTGGTTTCTGAATGTTTCTGGGAAGCAAAAAAAACACTTTGGACGACTGCAAAGAATTTAAAATGGACTAGTTCAGTTTTTCACTTTTTCAATCAGGTACAGCACCTTTAAAGCACCAACTTATCTCCATGGAAGACACAAGTAAAATCTGTGTGACATTTATTTTCACTTATTATTATAGAAAAGAAATATTTACTTTTTGTGTTATATCTGTGTATTCATTCGAGATTGATAAGTTTAATGCCATACACTGGAACATTCCAGTCAAACCAAAAACATTTTCATGGAACCTCCACCAAAATAGTTATACAAGTTATTAAGTAAGCCTGTATTCTCTGGTACTGTCTGTACTGCATCACCTCTGTGGTAGGGCTGGAGGAGTTTAATACAAAAACATCTCAAATCAAAGTTATCATGTTTCCACTGATCTTCTATATTTAGCCGAGGAAATAGCTGCTTCCAGATTCCCCTCAGAGCTGGAACACAAAGCTGTAAAAACAATGCATCAAAACTTGGTGGTAAAATGCATGTGACAGGTTTTTGTGTTTTTCTAAATATTACTTTGATTTTTGAGAAACTTTTGAATATGTTATTATGTTAATGTTTCAGTGAATGGTGTCTCTGCATTCATCTGCACTTCGTGGAAACTGTCTGATCTCGCAGCATTAGGATTCGTTCGCAGGTATTTTTTTGTTTAACCAATCACTGCTATTTGGTCATGACGTATGTAATGTGCTGGAACATTCAGTGGTTTCCAAGTAATTGCCGGAACAACAGCAAACAAAGCAGAGCAGAGTGAACATGTCTGTCAGTGATCATTGTCGTTTCTCTGAGATGAACTTGCGAATGAAAGGTGCAATAAAAAATGCAAAGTTTGTATTTGATAAAGGAAGTCCAAAAGAGAATAGAGTATTGCAGTCTGCTATTGGCTCAGGTCTCTGCACTGGCTCCTGTGGCTCAGAGAACAGACTTTAAAGCAGCTCTGCTTGTACAAGTCTCTCCATGGCCGAGCACCAAAGTCCATCTGTGACATGTTAGTGTCATATGAACCATCTCACACTCTGAGGAGCTCAGGGACCGGCCTCCTGCTGCTGCCCAGAGTCACGACTAAACAAGGGGAGTCAGAGTTTCAGGTTCATGCAGCTAAAACCTGGAACAGTCTGAACATGTGAGACAGACTCTTCTGTGACGCTGTTTAAATCCAGACTCAAAACATTTCTGTTTAACTGTGCTCTTCTCTCCAATTTATGTCTCTCTTTTTTAATTTTAATCTTCATGATTATTTATGTTTTGATTTGTTTTTATTATGATTTTAATGTGTTTCTTATTCTGTAAAGCACTTTGAATTACTGTGTGTACGAATTGTGCTATACAAATAAACTTGCCTTGCCTTGCCTATTGGAACTTGTGTTGGTTCAGCTCTTCACTGATTGACCAGTGCGCAGTCTACAACTTGCGGGGATCTCGCAAACCGTCTAGTGTATTCCAATTCCTGACTTAGTCGCTGGAGAGAAAGGAAATTGAGTGGAGGCACTAGATGGTGCCAGCCTGGCCACTTGATTGTCTTGAACATGAAAAACAGAAGTAGCTCATCTTAAACCGTCTGCCGCAGTCCAGAGTTACATCTCACTTTTCCTAACAAGTCCTAATTATTCATCACAATTACTAAAAAAGTAATTGTCAGCATTACAACAATGATAATTACAACAACTAGCATGCTAACAGTGCACCAGCATCACTTACCATCTACTTTCAATTCACTTTTACAACATACAGTATTATCTGCTCTGGGGCAAAACAAATTGGACTTTAATAATGCATGAACAAATTCGGTCCCTTTAACCAAGTAGTTGTCATTTTGTTTTCCCAGCATCAGTTTCCAACAGAGGTCTTTGTTTTGCAAGTCTCAAGTAGTTATTTGACCTCAAGTCCGAGTTAAGTCCCAAGTGAAATTCAGGCAAGTCCAAGTCAAGTCTCGAGTCACTGGCCCAAAAGTCCAAGTCAAGTCCAAATCGTCTGCTTTGAGTTTCAAGTCATTTCAAGTCTTTAAACCAAAGTACCAAATATAGCTTTAGTTTTTGCAATTTATTTGACTTTTAAATTGGACTTAAAAATCGTAGTATATTTGTATGTGAGTATTTATAGACTATATAAGGGTTGTAGAATTTAATTTAGTTATTTTTCCCTTTTTAAATGTCTTGACAAGATCTTAGAGTGAATCATTACGGTCAGAACAGAAAAAATTCAGATTTAAAAGTGCTTCTCAAGTCACTGACCTTCAAGTCCAAGTCGAGTCCCAAATCTTAGGCCATTTTATCAAGTCAAGTCTCAAGTCCTAAAAATAGTGACTCAAGTCTGACTCGAGTCCAAGTCACGACTTACAAGTCCCCATCTCTGGTTTCTAATCAAAAAAGACAAACTTAAACCATGTAAAACAGGAATAAACCAGGAATTAAAGGTCCAATATTACACAAAATTGACTCTTTAAGACATGTTATAATGCTGTTACCTCATCAAAAACATACCAGGTGTTGTGTTTTGTTTCATTCACACATGTAATCCTTTATTATTCATCTTTCTACAGGCTCAAAATGCTCTGTTCCACCTTGTGATGTCATGTAGTGGTAGTTTTCAAGGTGTATGGAGGCCTAAATATGCAGGATTTGTGAGTTAAACATGTGTGAACGAAACAAAACACAACTCCAGGTCTGATTGTGACGAGAAAACATTATAACACAGATCAGAAAACAGCAATACGGGCTCTTTAACTTGGACTAAGCCAGAACTAAACCAGGACTTGAAGCAGCAGTGAGTACATACAGCTCTAGCACCATGACGATGTCGGACTTTCCCTCGAAGGCGTCCACGCACTGCACGAGTTTGGGGTGGTGCAGGCTGTTCATGATGCCGATCTCCTGCCTCACGTTCTCCTTCTCTTTGGCTGAGTAGGCCTTGATGAACTTCCCCGCCCAGATCTTCTTCGTGGACTTCTCGACCAGTTTGAAGACCTGCCCGAACTTACCCCTGAAAAACACACAGACACACAGGAAAACATACACACATATTACTTTAGATGACTGACCAAATATCTGTATAGTATGAATCTAAACAATTAATTTAGACAGGTTTATAATGGCTCAAATATTGAAAAGGGACACTGTCACTTTTCTGCTGTTTTGTCTACCACCTGCTTGTCTCCATAGAGATGTTACTGCTTTGCTTGGTATGTTCCACAGTACTGCATTAAACTTTATCACTTACTAACACTTATTTGATTAATTTTAACTCTGATTAATTCTTTATAATGCTAAAAAACACTATTAACAACATGCAACAACAACTGAGTGTGGTCACCTCTCCACAGATCTGACTTGTAACTTGGTAACATGTACGATCATTGAGTTTTGGATCAAATAGTATAATTTATGGCAAGGCAAGTTTATTTGTATAGCACAATTCAAAGTACTTCAAAGTGATTTACAGAATAAAAAATACATTAAAACCACAATACAAACAAATCAACACATAAATAATCATCATAAAATTTAAAATAAAGAGAGACATTAATTATATAAGTTAGAGAGAAGAGTGCGGAATGAAAACCTTTCAGTCATTTGCAGCTAAACAGAACAGTTTTGAGCCTGGATTTAAACAGATTCAACATAGACCTGTCTCACATGTTCAGGAAGACTGTTCCAGGTTTTAGCTGCGTCAAACTGAAACTATACAAGTTATACTAAACTTTCATTTCATATATTTAAAGGTGTGCAAAGTAACTTTTATAGTGGGGGGTCCATGACCTTGCTTATTATTTCCATGGAGATTTTTTTGCTTTGTTTGGTATGCAGTGTTTCTTGCAGGAAATTGGTCTAGACTATAGTTTTGTGAGGATTCACGTGGTTTGGAGGGATGTAGTCAAGGTCACCTTAACTATAAAGTGCTGCGGGAAACACTGGTATGTCCTCATATCAAGTCAGACCTGTAGAGAGGCCGTCCTGCCCTCTGTTTTTCAAGGTATTTTTGAGCTATGAAAAAACACCCATAAGAGATTAATGCATAATAGATACGTTTGGTGGTTGTTATGGTGATAGATAACCAGGCTGGCGCCACCTAGTGCCTCTGCTCAATTTCATTTCTCTCCAGCGATTAGGTCAGGAATCAGAATAATAGACAGTTCCAAAAACCCCGGAAGTGTAAGTTTGGCCAATCAGCCAATCAGCGAAAGAGTCATATATTCAGTGTTGTCAATGATTCCCAAGATCGAGGATTTAAAGCCGGAATAAAGAGAATGTTTGGTGAATTTCATCAAGGGGAAAGACGTTATTGTCCTTCTTCCTACGGGATTTGGGAAAAGCTTAATATACCAGTTAGTCCAGTTAGCGACGCATTACATACATCACGACCAAATAGCAGTGATTGGTTAAATGATAAAAAGTCGAGCGAAATCTAAAAGGCTGCGAGGTCAGAAAGTTTGTATGAAGTGAAACGAAGTAAAACCAACTAATGAATCAGGCTAGGTGATAGATCCCCTCATAACAAAAGCTACACAGTGCATCTAAAGGTTCTATATTATACAGACCTGGAGTTGTGTTTTGTTTTATTCACACATATCTGTATAATCCTTTATTATTAGTCTGTCTACATTCCTAAAGCTTAAAATGCTCTGTTCCACCTTGTGATGTCATGAAGCGAAAGTTTGCAAGTTAACAGCTACTTTTTACAATTTGTTCAGAAGAGATTGGCAATTCTGGAGCTGAAATTATCCAAAATATCTAATAAATAAACATAAAATAAACATGTGTGAATGAAACAAAACTCCAGGCATGTTTGTGATGAGGATTGTCAGATGGATCAGAAAATAGCCGAATATGAGCCCTTAAAATCCACGAGTTTGTGTTCTTACGTTCCGAGTCTCTCCTCCACGTCGTACAGGTCCTTCACCTTCAGGTCCGTCCTGATGGTCACGTCTCTGTACTCGGGCTCCTTCTCTGCGTCTGAAACACCAGAGTTACTAACGACTCTACAAGCAAAGTTTAAATCACATCCACGTACTGCTGCTCCCGTTCAAATATCATTTATAATAACACATATTTTTTGCTGTTGAGTCTAGTATTTCATGATAATCAAGTCATAATTTCAGATGGAGGGCAGGGGCTACTGTAACTCTACGGGAGATTTACTGTGTTTGAAAGAAAAAATCCAAAACAGAAATCTATAAATGTTGAACCTTATCATTTGTTTTGACTGGCTCCATAAACTTGCCCAATAAAACTTACGGCTTTAAAGTCCTTTCAGCTGACAACAATCACCACATGCTGAATAATAGCACCGTTCCCTGAAACTACAGTAACTTTTTAAAAACTTTATTTTATTTACACTGACACAGAAGGCATTGAACGTTGTGCCAGTTTTTGTTTCGTGTGGATAGGCCCAGTAATTACAGAGATATGAACCATAAACCAGACATTTAAACAGCTAATTTCACCACAGAATTCTGACCCGCAAATCGATTTCCAACTATAGAAATTCTCAAATGTTATGATGTCGTCTGAACTCAACCCACCAAATGTTCTATCTTGCCATCTATTCTCAGTTCAATTTTGATACTAAAAAAAAAAAAAGGTTCAGTTCAATACCAATTTTAATACCACAATTATATGAAAAATATATCTTTAGTTACATTAAAGAAAAGTCGAGTTCTGCCTTTTCAGTATCGTTACTTGTTTGTGATTTTTGAGTTTCCAAACTAGTTTTGACAAGACATGATTTAGTTTGTCTCTCATTGATTGTTCTATTTATAGGACCTCGTTTCCTAGTGATCCAGAGTGTTGGAGACGTATGGAGACACTTTTTTAAATATTCCATCCAGTCCTTGTATTTGCAGAGGTCGCTGGTGCTAGACTAGTGCATGTCAATGGTCGTAGTTATCCTGCCGCTAAAAACAGTCTTACCCACTCCACAAAACACCCAAAACAAATCTATTATTACACCAGACTGTCCATGTAAATGTCTGCGTTGATAGAATAATGTTTGAAATAAAACTAACCTTGCTTCGCATGAATCGTCGCATGTTGAGGGACTATTTTCTCATATATCAGTCCGCCGCTGCCAAGTTTTCGATCAGGAAGTACAACTCACTGCTGCTGCTCCGATATAAATGCTTCAAATGCAAGGTCGCTTTTACTTCTAAAATTATTCTATCAACACAGACATTTACATGGACAGTCTGGTGTAATAATAGTTTTTCTTCGTGTGTTTTGTGGAGTGGGTAAGACTGTTTTTAGTGGAAGGATAAACTATGACCATTGACATGCACTAGTCTAGCACCAGTGACCTCTGCAAATACAAGGACTGGATGAAATATTTTAAAAAGTGTCTCCACACGTCTCCAACACTCTGGCTTCACTAGGAAATGAGGTCCTGTGTCTAAAATTCCGCACTGTCCCTTTAAAGTATTGTACTATTACTACTATTTTTTATATAGAAAAGAAAAGAGAGTTAGTCAGCAAAGTATGCTCTGTAGTTTTATGTACTGTATGTGTTTATTTTATAGAAAACTTGAAATTTGAAATTACAAATGAAATTTAAAAGCTCCGTACCATCGTCCTCTTCCTCCACCTCGGCCTCCTCCAGGTTTTCTGTCAGAAGAACCACACACATGTTAGTGAGGGGTAGCTTAAAGGTGCATTGTGTAACTTTTCTGGTCTGTTAAATGCTTAAAATAAGTTTTTCATCTTCCAACTCCTTTTTAAGAAATGTGTTTTTCTGTTGTTTATAATATATGTAGTATCTCCAACCTGTAGCTCTCCACCCCCTCCTAAGCAGCTCACCAATACATTTCTGAATTATACAGATTATGCTGATTAACTAAAATTTTGTTAATTAGATACCATTATTTTATTTAGCTGCATAATTTCTTGCGACCTCTAAAACTGGTACCTCCCTCGCGTTTGCGTTTTTGTAAAAGTAGCTCACCAAAGGAAAAAGGTTGGAGACCCCTGATGTAAATGGTAAATTTTTATTCTCACCTCGAAATCAAAACAATAAACAGAATTTCACATATTCAGATAGCAACCTTATTTAACTTTTACACAGTTGGTGATTCTGACCAGTTTTGTTTTATAGACTTTATTTTTGCATGCTCGAACTGAACGTTTCAAAGTATAAATATTTGTGATGTGATGTTCCACCCTCTGTCCTGCTCACTCTGTCCTCCCGACGTCAACTTCACTGGTCATTATTTATCTTTACACGCATTAACCTCAGTTATTCTGAATATCTTAAATAGTATTTAATTCCATTCAGATCCTCTTACAGTTTGCGCCACACAGATCAGATATTTTTTGTTGTCCCAAGAGTCAAAAAACAAATAGGAAAACACTCATTTAAATATAAAGCTCCTTCTGATTGGAACGATCTTCCCTCATCGATTCGTGCATTAACTTCTGTCCCTTCATTTAAAAACGCTCTGATTCGATATTTGCATAACCCATGTAATTGTTTTTGATCATTTTGTTGAATTTTGTTGTTCATCTTGTTGCATTTTGTGACTATATTTGAACTCTGTCTTAGTTTTTGTTCAAATTTGATTTATTATGTGTCAAAGAGTCAAGTGTGAGTGTGTGTGTGATTTTGTTGTTTTGATGTTTATTTGAATTTCTGTATCCGACTGTCTGCCCTTCTGTATCTGTCTTTTTTATTGTTGTAACTATAAGGACTCCCTCGAAAACGGGGGGCTTATCCTCTAAACAAATAAATCTGAAATTTGAAATGGTTGTCAGCTTGTCATTGTGCTGTAGTGTGACTCTAAATCCACATCAGACCCTGGAGTTGTCCTGAGTTGGTTTTATTTCAGTATCTCACCATCGTCCACCAGCCCCACGGTGACAGGCTCTGACTCTGCGCTGGGCTCCCCCACTCCGTAGACGTTCTCTGCCCGCACACGGAACTTGTACTGGCGCTCGGGGAGGAGGTTCTGGAAAACAAATATAAAGAGATGTGACAAATAATACAACAAAAATGTGACGAGTTATTTAGGGATGGGCAGTAGAGAGGGAGGGGCAAAGGGATCTGTTGTCCCAGGCCCCAGGGTTTTACGGGCCCTGGAACTGAACCCTCTTCCTATTAATTAATATTAGAGGGGGGGTCCATGTGAGACTTTTTGCCCCGGGCCCCCAAATCTCTGTCAACAGGCCTGAATATATAAATATATGTCAAGTGAAGTATAACAATTCTCTCAAAGCTGATATTTGCAGATATTTTTTTAGTACTGCTTCATTCTCTCTGTGCCGTTTTTGAACTGATTACTTTTACATGAAGGTGCATTTATATTATAGTGATCTACATCCATAGACTGTATAAAGAAGTGGACTAAGTGGGTGTGATGTCATTCATAGCGTTCAGCGCCGCTCAAATGAAGCTCGTGATGCTAACGGTTACAGGAGCAAAGTTGGAGCCAGGCTCTATGTTATGAAAAGGATTTTTTAGACAAACAAAACAGCGAAAGAACCTCAAAACATCAGGATCATGTACAGCGGGTTAGTGCCAAGCACCCGGAGTTTCAATGGGCCGAGCTCAATGGTGCATGAATCCAGATTCACCTTTAGCCCGGCAAGGTGCTTTTGGTGACTGTGAGCCGATTGAGCGTGTGCAGTAGTGCTCTTTTCTCCCGGGGGCACACACAAATGGACCTGAGCGCACGCACGAAGCGAGATCTTGTGTATCACGTGATCCCTTTGACCAATCAGAGCAAGAGGAGCTAGAACAGAGCGGGAGCGAGCGATTATAAATACATTTTTAAGACAACTGAAGGATGTTGAGCTAAGAAAATGTTTATGATCTAAAAATAGGTAAACCTTGCCAGAAAAGCTGACATTTTTGAAAGTTGCCCTGTCACTCGAACACGAGCAGTTTGTGATTTCATGGAACTTTCTCAGTCCAGGGTTTTTTTCCGCAGTAGTACCAGTGAGTGACCACTACATCAACTCGAGGTAGCTACAAGCAGCAACACCCTATCCAGTTATTTGATTAGATTCATGGTTAATATGAACATTTTAAGACCAAAATGACAAGGCTCACAGCAGTAGGAAAAGACAGAGGGACGACAATATTCCAGTGTAAATCAATAGGAGCTAGGGTCAGAAGGAGCCGGAAGAGCCGCAGCTGAACTTCTAATTCGGAATGGGGTGACTAGAGCGTTAGCCATGTCCATTTATATATACAGTCTCTGACAATAACTCAGCATATAATCTCAACTATCTTTTTTTTGTTGCACTGTTTGTTTTGCATTTATTTCTGTCTAATTGGAGTAAAAAAAAACACACACACACTCACCACAAGAGCTGTATTTTATTTTTTCTTACTAATACTATGCGCTTCAAAGCTAAAATTGCATAATGATGTACCGCTGTGTATTCCTTTTGTATTAGGAAAGTAACTCTATTCTGAACACCAACAATTAAAAGGCTGTTATTGGAAACAGGCACCGATACTGAAAAATTTGGTTGATATCAGCTTCCAAAAATCGGTTCAGGCGATACACTGGTTGGAAGTGATGTAATAAGATTATTTACTGATCATAGTTGGCCCAGAAAGTCTCATCATGTTTAAACGTTTTATTTATGGACTTTGTATCGGTGTAAGTATTGCATTGTGAGGTACTTTGCCCCAACAATCTGCCAAATTAATGTTTAATGTTATTTCAAAAAACACAATTCTGGCAGTACTTTCCTTTTTCTGAGAAGTTTTTCCATCTTAACTCGATTCTGAAGATAAATGCATTTCATTAAAACTAATTTTGATGTTTTCCAAGATCAGAAAAATAACACTGGACAGCTGCATTTTTGATCTTAGACGTAGCAGTGAACTGGAGATCGGACAACTATGTTCACTGACACGAAGCCAGAGTGAGATGGGGCTCGATTCAAACTTGGGACCCTCTCGTTGTTTGGCAAACGCTCAGCCAGTTTCAGCAGAGATCACAGTACTCAGATTAAACTGTAATTTATGTATTGCGCGCGCCCAGCCAAAGCCTCAGTTATCTCTGCAGTTAAAAGGACAGTCCAGAATGTTGGACGCAGGACCTCGTTTCCGAGTTATCCAGAGTGTTGGAGAATCTGTGTGTCATTCATTCATTCGTTTTTCAATATAAAACCAAAAATAAGAAAATGAAAAAACAACAGATTTCTTCATTATTTGTCTCCAAAACCAAAATGAAAAAACAGATAACGATTAGTTGTTTCAGTTTTCGATTTTGTGTTTAAATGAAAAATGGAAAAAAAGGATAACCCGTTTACGTGACTTCCGTGACTGTGATGCAGAACTTTTGCGCTGCATACGGACTGAACCGGGACTGATCCAGGTCCGGGACCAGACCGGGACCAGAGTGGGACTGTGACCGGGACCAAGACCAAGACCGAGACCAGACCGGGACCAAGACCGAGACTGAGATCAGAACTGAAACCGGGACCAGACCGAGACCAGACCAAGACCAGTCCGAGACTGAGATCAGAACTGAGATCGGGACCAGACCGAGACTGAGACCAGACCGGGACCAGAGCGGGACTGAGACTGAGACCAGACCAGGACCAGGCCGGGACCAGACCGGGACTGAGACTGAGACCAGACTGGGACCAGGCCGGGACCAGACCGGTACCAGACTGAGACTGAGACCGGGACTGAGATCGAGACCAGGCCGGGACCAGGTTGGGACCAGACCGGAGGCTCAGAGCCCACAGCAGGTCCAGAGCTCGAAGCTGAGGCTCAGACCCTGCGGAGGTTCGGAGTCAAAGCTCGGAGTTTGCTCTGGTCCCGCCCTGATCCCGCTCTGGTCCCACTGATTTGCTTCAGTTTTAGAAGCATTTGCAGCAGGGTATCCCCAGGTTTGACTACCCCAAATTTAAGACTGTTTTAAGACCTTTTTAAGACCACTTAAATGAAAATTAAGACCAACATCGCACCCATTATGCGGGCAAAAAACTTCAGATCCAATTCTAATAATGACCAACCTACTACTACTACTACTACTACTACTACTACTACTGTACTGATTGTTCACTCACTGCCGCCGGCGCCAGAAACCAAAGTATTGTTTGCACATACTCCAAATAAGATGTTCATGCACATTAAGTGATTTTATGTTAGTGTTTATTTTTTCCTCCAGTTAACGTTGCACTGCAGAACGGCTGAGTGTACAAAAAAAAGGCTAATGAAATTTAAGACCTTTGTGAAAAAAACAAGACGTGGACAACCAAATTTAAGACTTTTTAGACCTTAATTTAGGGACATGAAATTGAAGACCTTTTAAAGACTTTTAAGACCCTGCGGCTACTCTGTGATAGAAGTACGATTTCCTGATAGAAAGCTCGGCAGCGGACTGATATCACCTGGCACCTGTCTTACTGGCAAAGTAAAATTCCGCTGCTGCTGAGAAAATAGTCCCTCAACATGCAGCGATTCACGTTTTCCATTATTTTGAGTTTATTTTGTTTGCCACACACAGTTTTGATGCTTTAAATGAGAAACTACAATGTAAATAATCATGGAAATAAATAAGAACCAAAAATTAAAACACATGTCCAACCTTTTGACTGGTATTGTCTTTAGCAGCACCTAAAATTAAACTGTGATACAGACCTGTACATTGTAGGAGGTGCTGTTGCAGGAGACCAGGTGCTTCCACTCTTTCCCCACAGAGTCCCAGATCTCCAGGTTGTAGGACTGCACGGCGCTGCCCCCGTCGTAGGTGGGGCCGTACCAGGACAGGGTCAGGCTGGAGCGACGAATGTCTGAGGCGGCCGGGACCTTCGCTGGAGGATCGGGTTTATCTGGAGAGGACAGGGAGAGAAGGGAGTGTCACGGACTTCTGATAAACCTAAAAACATCGAAACTTTATGACACATCTACAGTCTTTGTGTCCATCGGAGTCGACCTCTCCTTCACTGTGGCTTCTCTTTTTCCTACTGAGTTTTAAGGAGAAAATTTATTGCTGAGAAGGAGAGTCTAACACAAATTACGGCCTTTCATCTTTTTAATCCAGCCAAACTTAAATAATGATAATAATTTTCAGTGTTTTAAAAGTTTTTTCAATAAATACTAAATACCGTGGGACTTGAAAGACATTTATTTTGTTGTAATGCTTTGTAATGATTTTCAATTATGAGATATTTCAGTAACAGTTCAATTTTTTTCTCTTATGAGGTGGATTCCCAAAAAAACTCCATCTATCTGCTCCTGGTCCGGCCCTTCCGTCAAATTTTAGACCCCTTTGTGGCCCACGAGTCAAAAAGTTTGCGCCCACCCCTGGTCTAACAAAAGATGGGACAATTATCCTGGAAAATGTTTCGTTAATCTCTGTTTGAATTTTTAACTTTATGTTTGTTAAATCAAAAATGTTGTTAAGCCCTGTGAGGTGCCTGTTGTTGTGGACTCTACAAAAACAAATGGATTCGAATGTTTTACAGGAAATGATTAGGCTTCTGTCAAAATCACATTGCAGAAATAAGTAAATAGTTCAGCACGAAGAGTTTCCGTACCGACGATGGTGAGGTTGAGCGCGGCCTGCCTGAGCCCGTAACTGTTCCTCAGCTCCACAGTGTAACAGCCACAGTGCTCCTGCTGACCGCTGGAGATGGTCAGTCTGCTGCTGCTGTCTGTGCTCTCGATGGAGATGTCTGACGCCCCCTCCTGGATCTAAAACACATTTTTACACGTGAACATAATTGTCGTTTTACCAGCTTGTCAAAACCTGATCTCCTCAGATCTCAGTGGCTGGAAAAGTCCTCTGAAAAGTACAATTTCTTAAAAGGTCCTGTAGTACACAAAATGGATTCTTGTGAGCTTGAAGTCATGTTATAATGTTGTTTCTCTTTTTCCGTCTTGTGATGTCATGAAAAGGTAAATGGTCACATTTTTCTATAGCCTTTTCCACCTTCAAGGCACTGAAAGCACTTTACAACAAGGAACTACTCTAGCCTGATTCATCAGACGGTTTTACTTCGTTTCCCTTCGTACAAATCTCACCTCGCACGTACGACGGTAGGCAGGTACTTTTTTTCATTTAACCAGTCGCTGTTATTTGGTAGTCACGTATGTAATGCGCCTGCTAACGGTCATTATTACTGGGACTATATTAAGCTTTTCCCAAATCCTCTAATGAGAAGGGCAATAACGTTTTTTCTCCTTGATGAAATTCTCCAAACATTCTCTTTATTCCGGCTTTAAATCCTCAATCTCAGGAATCGTTGCCAACACAGAATGTCTGGCTCCTCGCTGATTGGCTGGTGCCTGAACTCGCACTTCCGGGGTTTTTGCGAACCGTCTAGTGTATTCTGATTCCTGATCTAGTCGCTGGAGAAAAATGAAATTGAGCGGAGGCACTAGGTGGCGCCAACCTGGCTAGAACCACTCACCCATTCACGCACACATTCATACATCAGTGTACGCAGACACTGGGGGCGAGGTGGGTTAAGTGTCTTGCCCAAGGACACAACAACAGCATTCACCTGTGGGAGCTAGAATTACACCAGCCAACCTGTGGGTAAGTGATCTGACCGCTGAATGATGTTTATGTCGAGAGTGGGAATCAAACCATCAACCTTTAGATCAGTGGACGAACCCTCAACCAACTGAGCTACTTCCACCCATCTTGAAGTGGTAGTTAACAGCTCCTTTTACCTTTAGTTCAACAGATATCGGCAATTCCAGGGCTGCAATTACTCAAATGATTCTAGTGAAAGTGTAGGAAGTTTAAAAACACAGTGGAGAGCTTCCTGTATTAACACATGACATCACAAGGTGGAACAGAGTGGGGTTTTTTTTGAGATATGAACTCTAAATCTGCAGGGTTTGTGTGTTAAACATGTGTGAAAGAAACAAAACACAACTTCTGGTCTGTTTCTGATGAGGATATATGTTAATGATGAAAAAAATCAGGTGCCACAGTCGGGCATCAGTGTCAAAAACTGTCATTCACCCACGTATCCAAGTAGAATTGTGGTGAGGGAGTGTTGGTGTTGGTCAGAGGAGCCGACTGGCACAGATCTGCAGCAGGGTTTGTAGGACTAAAGGGTAGACTGAGGCGGGATGAAGGGCATAACCTTGAGGACCAAAGGGGAGACTGAGGAGGGGCTGTGTCTGGAGGACTAAAGGAGAGAGTGAGGGCCAAGACGACCAAAGAGTCTAAAGGTCTTACTGGTTTCCTGAACTTGAGCCAGGTGCAGTTGATGGGCGGAGCTCCGGAGAACTTGCAGAGGATCTCCACCTTCTCTCCAGCCAGGATCTTCATGTCCTCTGGGAACTGCAGGATCTGAGGAGGCAGAGCTGGGGACACAAACAGGAGGGATGCATTTAACCAGGTGTGTCTTTAGATACTGTCCCATTGTCAACATAATTCATTTGTGTGTCATTTGTTCATTTGTTTTTCAATATAAAACCAAAAATAAGAAAACAATAAAACAGCAATTTTCTTCATTATTTGTCTCCAAAACCAAAATGAAAAAAAAAAAAAAAAAAAAACGGATAAAGATTCTTTTTTTTTTTTCAGTTTTTGATTTCGTGTTTAAACGAATAATGGAAAAAGAACGGATAACAGCTGTTTCCCGTTTCCATGACTTAATTTGCAATGCGGGAATATTGCTCCACATGCGGACTGAAACAGGTCCGGAACCAGACCAGAACCGGACCGGGACTGAGATCAGGACTTAGACCGGGACCAGACTAGTTGTGAGTCTGGGACCAGACCGGGAACAGGACCAGGACTGAGACCAGGACTGAGACCAGGGCCAGTCCAGGATCAGACTGTGATTGAGACCGGGACTGAGACCGGGACCAGACCAGGACTGAAAACGGTTTAGTCCTGGTTTAGTCCTGGTTCAGTCCTGGTTCAGTCCTGGTTCAGTCAATATGTGGTGCAAAAGTCTGGCATCGCAGTTTAAGTCATGGAAAATCATTTAAACACAAAATCGAAAAATAATAAAGCAAATCATTATCTGTTTTTTCATTTAGATTTTGGAGACAAATAATGAAAAAAACATTTATTTATTTATTTTATTTTTTTCAAAATTTTTGGTTTTATATCAAAAAAACGAATCAACGACTGATACACGGATTATACTTGAACTGAATCACGTTTTGATTTTTGTTTTGTTTTTTGGTCTGCCTGTTGTTGAACTTCACACAAAATCTAAATGCACAATAAAATTAACCATAAAACTGCAGGAATATCACATTATCCCCTTGTTTCTGAGATGACACTAGAAGTCTCTGTCTGTTTTAAGGTATTTGTTTTATTAGTTTTAATTACAGACTATTTATCTTCTATATTTCCAGGACATCAATGGCAATATTATCCATTTGTTGATCTCTCACCTCTACCTGAAAACAGAAAATAGATCATGAAGGACTTAAAGTGTACACTACAATATAGTGAATGAATGGGCAGGTCTCTGGCAGCGATTCAGAAGATTTGTGTTACAACCAGGAAAAGAGTCCAGTTGGCTTAAATCTGAGACATGTTTTGTCTGCAAGCCAAAGTATTTATATTTTCAGATGTTAGGGTATTTGCAGTTAGATAGCGAGCCAGATGGACTTTCTCTTTGTGTTTTATACAGTCATCAATCAAAGCAGTAATAGGCTGAAATTCTCGGTTTGTAGCTTTTGTCCCTCCGTGTATTTGTGTAATCTTATAGCCATGAAATGCATGTTTTTTGAAGTTTTTACTGCACTGAAAACTTAGAAAAACGTGCGTCCTTACTCCGAGAGGGCTTGCATCTCCACAAACCAAAATTTTGCGTTTTTATTCTCTGTAAGCCGTAATCATCAAAATGTAAAGAAATAACCACTTGAAAGCTTCACTCTCTGTGCAGTGAGTCCATAGTGTGTATAAAAGAAGTGGACTAAGCGAGTGTGACGTCACCCACAGCGTTCAGCGGTGCTCAAATGAGGCTCGCTTTTTTTGATAGACAAAATAGCAAAAAAAAAAAAAATCTGGATCATGTAGAGTGGGTTAATATGAACATTTTAAGAGTAAAATGACAAGACTCAATGCAGCGGTCACAGAGAGAGGGACGACAAGATAATGTAAATCAATTGGAGCCAGAGTCAGAAGGAGCCGTAAGAGCCTCCTGGAGAACTTTCTATCTGCTATGTCCACTCATATTTACAGTCTATGGATGAGTCTATATATTATATGGGTTTGGCTTTCTGAAACCTTTTCATTGTATTCTAAAGGAAGAAACAGGGATCATTTTCACTGTCTTTCTAGTACATATTTTAAGAATGAATTTGCAAAAACGGGTAATCAGGTAAATCATACAAACAGTGGTATTTGGGAAAAGTTCTACTCAAGTAAGAGTAAGTTAAAGAGCAAGTGTTTCTTTTTTTTTTATGTAACTGGAAGAAAAAAAACATGAAATATTGCACAAAATCTGGAATTTTCAAGTGATAAATGAAAAAAAAGAAAAAAGTAATCCTATTAGAAGAAGAGTGAAGAAGAAGTGGAAAACACAAATATTCAATTCATTTTATATTATCTACATAAAGATTTGTCACTAGGGAAGAGGAACCAATACTTTTACTCAAGTAATAGCAGTGTTACTTCAGTAAAATTATTACTCAAGAAGGAGTAAAAGTATGCTGCTGGCAAAGTACTCTGAAAAGTACAATTTCAAAGGTCCTATAGTACACTAAATGAATTCTTGTGAGCTTGAAGTCATGTTATAATGTTGTTGCTCTTTTCATTCTTGTGATGTCATGAAGCAAATATTGGCATCTCCAGGACTGCAATTATCCAAATGATTCTAGTGAAAGTGTATGGAGTTTAAAAACACAGTGGAGCACTTCCTGTATTGACACATAACATAACAAGGTGGAGGTGGAGCGTTTTTTTAATAAGAACTCTAAATATGCAGGGTTTGTGTGTTAACTCTTTGGGCGCCAGAGGTTTTTTCCTAAAACGTTCAATTTTGACATCTTAGTCCTGGATGAGTCCTGGTTCAGTCCAGGTTTAGTCCTATTTTCATCCTGGTTTAGTCCTGTTTTAGTCCTGGTTTAGTCCTATTTTCATCCTGATTTAGTCCTGGTTTAAGTACTGGTTTAGTCCTGGTTTAGTCCTAGTTTTTAGTCCTGTTTTATTCCTGGTTTAGTCCTGTTTTAGTCCTGTTTTAGTCCTGGTTTAGTCCTGGTTTAGTCCCATTTTCATCCTGATTTAGTCCTGGTTTTAGTCCTGTTTTAGTCCCAGTCCTGGTTTAGTCCTATTTTCATTCTGGTTCAGTCCTGGTTTAGTCCCATTTTCATCCTGATTTAGTCCTGGTTTAGTCCTGGTTTAGTCCTGGTTTAGTCCTGGTTTAGTCCCATTTTCATCCTGATTTAGTCCTGGTTTAAGTACTGGTTTAGTCCTGGTTTTAGTCCTGGTTTAGTCCTATTTTCATTCTGGTTCAGTCCTGGTTTAGTCCTGGTTTATCCTCCTGGTTTAGTCCTGGTTTAGTCCCATTTTCATCCTGATTTAGTCCTGGTTTAAGTACTGGTTTAGTCCTGGTTTAGTCCTAGTTCAGACCTGTTTTAGTCCTGTTTTAGTCCTGGTTCAGTCCTGGTTTAGTCCTATTTTCAGTCCTGGTTTAGTCCTGGTTTAGTCCCATTTTCATCCTGATTTAGTCCTGGTTTAAGTTCTGGTTTAGTCCTGGTTTAGTCCTGGTTTAGGTTTAGTCCTGGTTTAGTCCTGGTTTAGTCCTGGTTTAGTCCATTTTCATCCTGATTTAGTCCTGGTTTAGTCCTGGTTTAGTCCTGGTTTAGTCCCATTTTCATCCTGATTTAGTCCTGGTTTAGTCCTGGTTTAGTCCCTGATTTAGTCCTGGTTTAGTCCTGTTTTAGTCCCATTTTCATCCTGATTTAGTCCTGGTTTAGTCCTGGTTTAGTCCCATTTTCATCCTGATTTAGTCCTGGTTTAAGTTCCTGGTTTTAGTCCTGGTTTAGTCCTGGTTTAGTCCATTTTCATCCTGGTTTAGTTTAGTCCTGGTTTAGTCCTGGTTTAGTCCTGGTTTAGTCCTGGTTTAGTCCCATTTTAGATCCTGATTTAGTCCTGGTTTTAGTCCTGGTTTAGTCCTGGTTTAGTCCTGGTTTAGACCTGGTTTAGTCCTGGTTTAGACCTGGTTCAGACCTGGTTTAGTCCTGGTTCAGAGCGGAAGCCCCTGCACGTGCTTCATTCACTTTTACCTTGTTTTGGAGGTGTTTTCGGCGTGGGCTTCTTTATCCTGGCTTCACCTGTAAAAAAAAAAAACACAAGTCAGTCAGATTAAACTTGAGACTTCGAGGTCACAAGGAGGACACGGTTCACATGTTTTTACAGCGCACGCAGCGGCGAACGGAGGCGAGCGAGGACCAAGAATGCAGGAGAGACTGTCCTATGCCCTTATATGGCCGTCCCAAAAATAGCCCTGTGTTCAGATGGCTGCAGGGGAAGAATCTCACTCTGAAATATGAAATGTACAGGCTTTAAATAAACCTCTTTAAATAAAATGTGGTCTTCTCTTGGCCCCGCCCCTCAGTGGAAACATAAACACGCGAAAACTTCCAACACGAGTTATTTGCGCTTTAAGGAAAACTCGGGCAAAGCTGAATGTATAACGCAGAATCTGTGTGTCAGTCGTTCATTCGTTTTTTCAATATAAAACCAAAAATAAGAAAATGAAAAAATAACAGTTTTCTTCATTATTTGTCTCCAAAACCAAAATGAAAAAACAGATAATGATTTGTTTTTTTTCAGTTTTCGATTTTGTGTTTAAATGAATAATGGAAAAAAAACGGAGAACGGACATTTCGAGTTTACGTGACTTGAACTGTGATGCCGGACTGAACCAGGACTAAACCGTTTTCAGTCCTGGTCTGGTCCCAGTCTCAGTCCCGGTCTCAATCACAGTCTGGTCCTGGTCTGGTCCCGGCCTCAGCCCTGGCCTCAGTCCCGGTTTCAGCCCAGGTTTCAGTCCTGGCCTCAGTCCCGGCCTCAGTCCCAGCCTGGGCCCGGTCTGGTCCCGGTCTCAGTCCCAGTCTCAAACAAAGTTTGGTCCTGGTCTGGTCCCAGCCTCAGTCCTGACCTCAGTCCCGGCCTTAGTCCCAGCCTTAGTCCCAGTCTCAGTCTTGGTACTGTTCCCAGACTCATTTCTGGTCTGGTCCTTGTCTAAGTCCTGGTACTGTTCCCTGTCTCAGTTCTGGTCTGGTCCTGGTCTAAGTCCTGTCTAAGTCCCGGCCTCAGTCCCGGCCTCAGTCCCGGCCTCAGTCCCGGCCTCAGTCCCGGCCTCGGTCTGAAACAAAGTCTGGTCCTGGTCTGGTCCCAGCCTCAGTCCCGTCAGTCCCGGACCTCAGTCCCGGCCTCAGCCCCGGCCTCAGTCCCGGTCTGGGCCTGGTCTGGTCCCGGTCTCAAAGAAAGTCTGGTCCTGGTCTGGTCCCAGCCTTAGTCCTGACCTCAGTCCCAGCCTCAGTCCCAGCTTCAGTCCCAGGCTCTGGTCTGGTCCCAGTCTCAGTCCTGGTACTGTTCCCAGTCTCAGTTCTGGTCTGGTCCTGGTCTAAGTCCTGGTACTGTTCCCGGTCTCATTTCTGGTCTGGTCCCGGCCTCAGTCCTGGTACTGTTCCCTGTCTCAGTTCTGGTCCTGGTCTAAGTCCTGGTCTCAGTCCCGGTCTCAGTCCCGGTCTCAGTCCCGGCCTCAGTCCCAGCCTCAGTTCCAGTCTGGTTCCGGTCTGGTCAAGGTCTCAGTCCCGGTCTCAAACAAAGTCTGGTCGTGGTCTGGTCCCAGCCTTAGTCCTGACTTCAGTCCTGACTTCAGTCCTGGCCTCAGTCCCAGCCTCAGTCCCAGGCTCTGGTCTGGTCCCAGTCTCAGTCCTGGTACTGTTCCCGGTCTCAGTTCTGGTCTGGTAAAAACTCTTTTATTTCGTTTTTTTTTAATGTATGTATTTGTTTTCGGTTTTTGGATTTCTTGCCAAAATGTTGCATACTGTGGCTTTAAAATGTTATGTCATACTGCTGCGCCTTCCTGTCAAAGTATAACATTCATATTATATATATATATATATATATATATATATACATCATATAACATAACATCACTTTGTTTGACAATATGTAACAATATCCAAGTCTCACGATACGATGTCGTCACAGTCTGAATCTCACGATACCATATTTATTACGATATTTTCTGGAGGTGAACAAAAGTGTGAATATGCTTCGTTTTCCTCTTAAAATACCTTGACAAGACTTAATCGAAAGAACTAAGACTTAAAAGTGTTAGAACTGTTATTTCTTCTTGTAGTCTACACTAAAATGGAGCAAAGGATCATGGTCTATGTAGTTCCCTCTGTTTTTTAGCTACTGCTGCACCATAACTCTTCATTTAAGCAAAGTGACTTGTAATTCGATATATTGTGATGGTCCACGGTATTATTATTACAACTCTGATGATACGATATCACGATATTTCAGTTTTAATGAATGCTAAAGCTCCAGCGCGCCCCGTAGAAGCAACAACATGACGACTCCTATATGGTTTCAGTGGCAGTGGCAGTAGTGAGTGTATTAATAGCAGGATGTGGGGAGGACATGCTGTTACTGTGTTGACAGACGGTGGTCTCAGTCCCATCATGTCATCACACTCACACGTACTTAGTGCTGTGATAAATAGACTGATGATAAGCCACTATACAGGTCAATGGGGTCATATGAAGGGATTAGAGAATGGATAAAGTTTGGTAGAGATATTCAGGAAGCAATAAAAGAGGGAGGATGATCAGTAATAAAAAAAGATGTAATTTAAACATTGACTGTTTTATAAATTACCTACAGATTAAAAAAGAGGGTGTGACCATCTCTGAAATGAGCAGTACAGCTATTGTGCAATGTCCCAGTCAAATAAACACATAAATAAACAAAAAGATAAATAATCAGTTAGTTTTATATATTATCATGTTGCCTCAATACAAAAAAAATCACTGAAAGGGAAAGGATCAGTACACGATACATATTTCAATGAATCAGAGCTCCTAAAAAAAACATTTTTTAAATGTCATTTTCAACTCTAACTTTTCTGATACAGGGCCTGTTATCTGCTTGTAATCATGGAACATTTTCTAAAATGTTCCACAATATGGAATTAATCTTTATCTCTTAATATAGAACAGAAGGTGATCCCACTAGGCCAGGCATGTCCAAACTATGGCCCATGGGCCAAATGCGGCCCTCAGACAAATCTTTGTTGGCCCTCAGGCTTCCAGGTAAATTGGCCCAAATGACCTTGCATCAATTAAAAATGAACTTTTTACTACAAGTATTTTGAAAATCTACCTTGATAAAGCTCATATTTAATGTTTAGTGTGTGGTTTTAAGGATCTTAGCATGAAAATGATGGATCATTCTAACGTGTTAAACATGCGCATATTTCAATTATTCACTGTATTGAGCACCAGTCCATGACCTTCGATCGGCCCTCTGCTTCATCTCTGGTTAGATATGTGGACTTTGATGAAAAAGTTTGGACACCTCTGCACTAGGCCATACTGCGGATCAGATCTGGCACACAGCACCAATGCAACGTATTTGTGTGCATATAAAACCTCTGTAACTGAATTAATGCAAGAGAGACAAGCTTAATGCCATATTGAGGAACATTTTGGATCTCCATGGAGAGAATGAGATGGCAAAACCTTCCTCACAAAAGTTAAATAATGCACATTTAACCCAATTTCACTCATTTCACTCTCATTCATCTACACTGCAAGGTGGAAGAATATACAAAGGAATGCTGTACACTATGAAACTTTCAGGGTTTGACACCTGCTTGTCACAATAAAATTGTTGTTGCTTTCACCAGAGTGTTAAACAGTATGGCATTAAACTAATCTGTCTTACATTTATCCAGTTACATATGTTTTACAGCTCATAAAGACCTCAGAAACATGCATTATTACTGTGAGTAACCTGGCCTCTCCACAGATCTGTAACTTTGCCTTGTCTCCATTGAGGTAGACATGTTAAGTGCTTGCCTAAACTAAATATATCTATACATCTATATATCTATCTACACCTATATCTATATCTATATCTATACCTATATCTATATCTATACCTATATCTAGATTTTTTTTTAAGCTTTTAGGACATTGGCCATCTGACTGACTGCATTTTTTCACTTTTACATTGCTGTTCCTTGCATTTTCACCTCTATAAGAACTTTGGTGTGTGTTTTCTGTTTCATTTAAATGCCATACTGTGGAATATTCCAGGCAAAGCAATAAAATCTCCATGAAGAGAAGCAGGTGACGGACCCTCCAACAGAAAAGTTAACTAAACACTAAACCCATAGTGAGTGCAGGGCAACACGTCCCGCTGTTGTCTAACCTCAGTCAAACTCTGGAGGAGAGGATACAGTGCACTTTTAATTAAAAAAAAAAGGTCCAGTCTAATGGAATTGTAACGTTTGACAAATAAATAATAGTGGTGAGAGGAGATATATCTACAGCACAAGTCAAAAGTTTGAAAACACCATACATCTTGCATATATTTGATGTATGTGTTGTATCGAAACTGTAGAAAGTAGTAAACAAAGAAAAAACCTGAAATGAGAAGGTGAGTCCAAACTTTTGACTGGTGAAGAATAGCACTGTGTGTAATTATGAACATTCTCCAGGAAGTATCTTCACCAGAATCCTCAACACAGCAGCAGCTCTGAGCTCTGGTTCAGATGAGACGGGTCAACCTTTTCCACCAGCTTTAAGAAACACCAATAAACAAAGCACCAATAAATACGGGCAAGTATTTATCACACTGTGGAGAATAAAACCTGTACACTCACATCATCATTTAACATTCAGATATGGGTTAAAGGGCTCATATTACACTATTTTCTGATCCGTTATACATCAAAAACAGACCCAGAGTTATGCTTTGATTCACTGACACATGTTTAACACACAAACCCTGCGTGTTCAGACTGTGTTCTTCTCTCAAACACAAAACCTGTTCCACCTACTGATGTCATATGGAAAAAGTTTGTTAGGTTTTTTAACTCTATACACCTTCACTAGAATCATTTGAATAATTTCAGCCCTGGAATTGCCGATCTCTACTGAAATAAAGGTAAAAGGTAGACTAAAGGGTTACTCAAATGTGTATGTGAATAAACCAAAACACAGCTCCAGGTCTGTGTTTGAGGAGGTAACGACATTATAACCAGGCCTAAAGCTCACAAGAGTTAATGTTGCGTCATACGGGACCT